GGGGGGATATCTCCAGGGGGAGTATGGGGCTTTGCTTGAAGGATTGATATGAGGACCGACCCCCCCCCAACAGCATGTGCCGGTGCCTCCAGGGAAGCGCAGGCTCATGTGCTTGACCCAAGTCAGGAGTGTGCGGCTGCCAAGGGAGGTGCTGGTGTTGGGGTGGGCCCTTGATCCTATAGCTCTTTGTTGCCAGGGTTGTGGTTTCTTCCCTCCGCCCCATGCTCCTCCTGCCTCATGTGCCTGGCACCCACCAGCTGCCTCGCAGCCCTGGTCCCAGCCGAGCAGCTCCCACGGGTGCATTGGACCTGGGAACGTGAAAGAGGAAGCGTGGGCTGGTGGGGAAGGCACAAGATGGGCAGTCAAGTGACCTGCGGCCTCCTCCAGGCCCAGGACTTCCCCATGTCAATGTAACCAAGTTATGGAATTAGCCTTGCTGTGTTTCATTTCTCCCTGTGTCTCAATCCGCAGTTTTTCCATTTCTTTTTCAACTTGAGGCACCCCTGGATGGATGTGAGACAGCCCTTCTTAAACTCGCGGCCTCCCCTGCATAGCTTCAAAGCCTCTCTCAGACAATGCCATCTCCACATCATGTTTGACTACAAGAAAATAACAGAGCAGCTCTTCTGTTGCGAAGAACTTGGAAAGACCACAGCAGGTCAGAGTGGTTTTGACACGATGGGTTCCTCTTCAAAATTTCTAGGTTTATCTTGCGAATCACATTTGTACACCTAACAGTGAAAACCTTGCATAGCATCCCGGGGAGCTCTTGAAAGGATCTCTAGGCACCCAGTTGAGAACCACATATCCTCCCTGTCTCCCAGAGGCTTAATTTACTCATCCAATTTATTCGTACATTTTAAATTTACAACGTCTTAAGTGGAAGACACCCTATAAAAGGATAAAGATTGTACTTAATGGCCAGCTTGGTGATCTGGCCCACTGTAATGAGGCATCAGAGAACAATAAGCAAAGTTTGCATTACTGTGCTGTCTTTCCCTGTTGTCGGGGGGAACCTTGGATGACCTGGTGTGGATAAAATGTGTTGCTGTTCTTCTTTCACTCTACTGCAGTGATTCTGGTACTGTAAGATCCTTTCAACGGTGCTGCAGGGTGCCACAAATTATAGTCACTGTTAGGTGTACAAAACATGGTTCACAAGGTAAACCCAGACATTTCCAATAGGAATCCACAGTGTCAAAAACATTCTGACCTGTTGTGGTCTTTCTAAGATTTTTGTTATGAGAGAATTGCCTTATTTTTTCTGCAGTCAAAAATGGAGTGAAAAGTTAGAGCTGACATTTTCTGAGACACCTTGAGTCTACTGAGGGATACCTTAAATCTAAAGAAGTTGAGAACTGCTTCTCTACCAGAACTATTTACATTTACTTCCCAAGTATTTAGCCATTGTGTTTGGTATTTAAAAAAGTGAAAACAAAGAGAAGAATTATTCAATGTATATCTCTTGTAATGAAATAACGATTATGAGAACTTTCAGTTTGTAAATCCTAGTTTTTCCTCACAGTTAGCATCTGAGTTCCATTTTTTTTTGTTGTTTTTCAACCTTTTCTTCAAACTTTCCCTCTCGAACCATAATTGTCAAATGGTCTGATGCTCTTCTGTAGTTGGCAGCCAATGGTGGTGGAAGATAGTGGAAAAACTTGTAATTTCAGCAGAGTTGTTTCATAATTAGTACTGTTTTTGAAAACATAAATATGAGATTAAAGTAAACACTTGGTTTGGTTGCTTGTAATCTGCTGCTAGGTTTAATATCTTTATCCCACAGGAAATCAGTAGTGGTTCTGTTTTTATCTCACCTGAATTAAACTTCTGTTGGGCATGGCCTGAAATCACTGTTAAGTGCCTCAAGGCATTTATTTTTGAAAAAAAAACGTCTACCCAGTGAGGTAACTTGTTCAGAAAATTCTGGTTTGACCTCAGATATAGACATAATGCACCACAGATGAAGAACTCCATTAATGAATGCAGAGTACACAGGGTAAACCATGTGAATAAGATAAAACAGAGAAGGGATGGAAAAAGGGAGGAACTTTTCTCCTCTTGGGGAAGTTTTAAACGAGCTAAGAGTACAAGGATGCAATGACAGAATGTTGTCAGGGTAGAGATGGAGTTAAATTGCTGTCTTAGTAAGTTTTGCATTTGAATACTATGTGAGGGAATTTATAGGTCCTTCTGAATTTTAACCTGTGACTGAACTTGAAGGAGCGGAAGTTGAGCCCCTATCTTTTGGTTTCTTGTTTTTGCTTTGAAGTCAGATTTCAAATTGTGTGTCTTGCATAAATGACCTGCTCTGCTATCTTCATATTGATGATAAAGTACAATCTGACTGTTCAGAATTGTTCTTGTACTCTTCTCAAGGCAAATGTTACTAATAGTTTATTAAATGCATTTCAAGGTTTTTTGGACAGTCTTTGAAAGTTAGGCTGTTGGCATCGCTAAGGTCTTGCAGAGAACTACATCTTTTATTTCAAGAAGATATAATTTATAAATGATTGCTTATAGATTTTGTTGTTTAAAGACGCGTTAAGTAAAACCTGTGTTATTTTGTAACAGCTCTCTTATTTGCCCTGTTTTGGAAGCAATTGCATAGATATACAATTGTCAGAAAGGAAGCATATAATGGTTCCCCCCAAACCACTACACTGTTACTTTGGGATGTCATCTGGTTTAAAATGCAAGCCAGTGCAAAGGTTTCCCAATGGTTGTAATAGCTGTTACAGAGAACAATTAAATAGTGTGTGTAAGGCTTCCTTAAACATGCTTGCTTCTCACATAAATTGCTCCTTCAGCAAACTGAAGCTTTTGTAGTGAAGAAACCCACTCATGCTCAAACCAAGCAATAGTCATTCTTATCCTGTAGAATACTTGTGTGGTTCATGGCTAACATAGATAAGTAAAATAACTACTTTGGCAGTGTTGAGTGAAGTTGTAGCCTTATGGCCGAGGAAATATGCAAGAGGCAATGATTTTTTGTGACGCCTTTTATTGGATCAACTAACTGCATGGTTGGGACACACAAGCTTTTGAATGTGATGTATTCTTAACTATTTAAAATGACTTTTGCATATAATTGTATTAAAACTAGGATTATCACAATAATCAGCTTAATTACAAATATCTCTTTTGTACAGGCCACTTCTGCAATACTCTTAAAACCATGCAGAAAAGTTTGGTTGGCACTTTAGTAGGCTTGACCAGTGAAGATTGGCAAGGTCCAGAACATTGTCTGCCAAGTCTGTATCCCTGCCCCCAAGATCGAGCTTGCCAGGGACTGTCATCCTTGACAGAGGATCTTTGTCAGACTAGTTGCTACTGATCCACCAACTATGAGGTAGTGTCTCTAAATTCTGGGTCAGTGGATGTCACAAACGGACAAAGCCAGAATACTTTGTCATTAACTCACTCTATGCAAGGAAAAGAGAGAGATTAGTGAATTACTATTGTCAGTCTTCCCTCCAAATCCTGTAGCATTTGTAAATTTGTCAGAGCCTTAATGCAGTCCAACTGGAACTTTTCTGTGTATTCTTTTCAAAGAAAAGTTTTTATGACGGCCTATAAAGTCTCTGCTTTCTGCTGAGATTTTGATTATCCTGATGTCCAGTTCACATTTCCCATGGGTCCTAGTGAAAGTATTGTACTTCATTTAGCTGCATATGTACAATAACTTTAAACTTTAGGATAGGTTCACATAACTTGATCCTTTTTTTTTTCATATATTTCAGAGCTTGTAAGAAGTACTGGTATGACAGACCTGGAGAATGTCTTCCATTTTTCCACAGAACAGGTATAGCATAAAGTGGAGTTGTGAAGAGTTGCACCCTTTTACTGTACGTGGTTTGGCCTGTTTGTGTGGCATTTCATTTTTGAAAGATTGCCGTTTAGTCATCCAGGTAGTTCAGTCTCAACCATCCAGATATTGATTCCTGTCTGTTAAAAATGACAAGAGGGGCATTGGTTTGTGTTTGGTGACTTTCTCACGTAGGTCTTTGTTGTTTGAAAGTTGGCTTTCAGTTGTAGATACCTGCTATAGGTAAAAGGTACTGAGTAACTTAACCATGAGCCAGGGTAATGTTTGACTTTCCAGAAGCAGATTGGGAATTTTTCAACAAACCCTTTTGCCTTGGAAGGTGCTGACTTGTTGAAACTAAAACTTTAAATGAAAATTTATGGCTTTGACAATACTTTTGTCAGGGTGGTTTCTGGTGTCTTAAGATGAAATTTCTGGTTGGTATGGCAGAAAGGATGATGGTTCCCAGGATAGCCAATGACCTGATGATTAGTTCTCCCAAGTTCTAGCCAAGTGCCATAGATTCAGGTCCCTCCTTTTCCTGAATCTCCTTTATTCCAGGTGAGTGTCCTAATCCAGGAGGCCCAACCTGTGGCATGTGTGCCACAAGTGTCATGGACAGCCTGTGTGTGGCACACAGCAGACTGGGGAGTAGACAAGCAGCACAGTGGCAGATAGGACAGAAGGCAGAGGCGGCATGGGAAGGGATTGCCTTGCATGGGAGCAGTACTTAGTGAGGGTGCTAGACTAAGTTGTGGCATGCCTGCTAAAAAAGTTAGCTCCCATCATAATCTGTAACCTGCTCCAGGTTATTGACTAGCCTTGAACGGAAGGGAGGTATCTCTCTCTGGTTTGTCTCTCACAAAGGTTTTCAAAAGGTCTCTGTTTTGTTTTGCTGCAGCCCAAAACCAAATCCTGAAATCTTGTAAGGTATTTTCAAACCAGAATTCTTTTTTTCAGGCAAGCATGAATGCTGAGTTCTTATTGCTGTCGCATTGAGTTGAGGATGTTCGCTTCTTTTGGAAAGTGAGCCTTCAGCATTTCTGAATGTGAATCCGACTTCTGATAGGGAGTTCATGCTTTCCAGTTCTGACCTTTTCTGAAATGTAAAGGCTGCCATTGTTCTAGGTGCCGATATACTGGCTCTGCACTGCCATTAGTTCTTAAGTTTGCATGACTGCCTTCATTTACGTATGGAAGCCCTAGGTTCAAAAGGATTGTTCACTAACCCATTCCTTCAAGGGTGCCCTTATTTTTTATGCTGTAGTCCAAAAGTTGCCAAAGTGGCAGACATGTATACTAGTTAAGAATGTTAATCAAATGCATGTGTCACTTAGACTTTTTAAAAATGAAACTTAATAGACAATTTCAAGTGATGTGCAAGTAGGGAAATAAAAAGAACATATATTGAAATGGAAAGGAGGGTTTTGAGGTTGTTCATGACTTGTGTTTGAGTTAGCTATTTTAGATCAGGATGTTTTTCAGTTTCTATTACTTTCATGTTTACTAAAATATATTGCTTTGCATAGGAAGTTTGAATAAAAGTAAGGAATTTCAAAGGTAATATGAAAACAATTGTCAGCTAATATTTGAGTAGAAATTCAGTTGGCTGAAACTAAGGCCAAGTTTCAAAATACTGTCTGAGTTCCAAAGTAGTAGTTTGCAAATAGATTCTACCTTCATCTTGTACCCATTTTTAAAAAAAATGTCAGGGGGTTTTGTGATAACAAAACATGTGGATTTGGTATCCCTAAGGGGAAAAAACTTGATAGTCTCACAGTGGATCTAGCACAAGTCTGGCAGTGCAGCCTTCTGTTTACCAGTGCCATTAAGCATTCCTTAATAGTGACCTGGAATTAAATCACCTTTGTCTGGGAAAGTTGCTTTCTTTCAGCGACTGTTCAATCCTTGATGCGTCTGATAGAATTGAACATACAACTTTTCTGCTGTATATCCTCAAAGACAGACCCATCTGAATGCATATGCATTGTTTGTAGTGTCCACTAGTATCCTACACACTTCCTGCGAGCGAACACTGATGGAGTGAAGAGACTCTTAATGGAACTAGGTGAAGTGGTAGTTGCCTAATCATTCCAAAGGCTATATTATTAAATAGAAATGCACCACATTACAGTTCGGAAGAGAGAAGTGAGTACATAATAAAAACGTTATGTCTGTAATGTCAGTATATGAATGTTGTTTAATATAAAGAATGTCATCTCCAGGCATAAGATATATATAAAAGGATTTGAGTCCAATGAAGCTGTGCACTGGAAAGTGCTTGCGTAGTACACATCTCTTAGCAGACTTGTCTGCAGAGATTCTGCTTAAAACTGTTAAGCTGTGTTGGTAGTTCTAGTGGGCGGCCTGTTTATATTATGAAACTGAGTCAGTCTAAGCCACTTCTAATTACAGGCAAGAACATTCATTGTTTTAGATTGGAAATTGTCATTGAAATCCCTGTGTATTTGTGTCCTTGCATTTTTAAAACAAGACTCTGTCCAATATGGAGAGGCTGGTGCTGGTGCTTCTGCAGTATGACATGTCTTAATGTTCCAGTTGGAAGGAAGGTGGCGAGGATTCTGCAGTTCTGGTCAACTGAATTTTTTTTACCCCAATTCTTCCTCCTTCCTACCCAACATTCGATCTTACCGTGTTTTGTGCAGTCATGAAAAGAACTGAGATCAATTTCAAGGAACAACTAACTTAATGGCTTATTGATGGTAAATCTGGCATTTTGAGCCAGGAGTAATGTGTGTCACTAGGTGGAGGGCATCCATATATTTCAACTGTATCTGACCTTGACTTGATTTGCTAGAATGTTTAGGCACTGTTGAGCAAAAGGTGGATTGCCATGCTGTGGGTTTAGTGTAGGGGTGGGCAAAATGCAGCCCGCAGGCCATATGCGGCCTGTCAGGACGTTCTATCCGGCCCACGGGGCCCCTAGAAAATTTAGAAAATGAATATTAATCTGCACCTGGCTGCCTGTCATGCAGCCCTCGATGGCTTGCCAAAACTCGGTAAGCAGCCCTCTGCACAAAATGATTGCCCGCCCCGGTTTAGTGGCATGCTATGGGTTTACCACTGCCAGTGATAATAGGAATTCACAGGCCATGGTGTTATCTTCAGTGAATTGTTGGCAAATGAAAACCTAAACCCATCAGTTACGTAGGGATTTAGAGACAAAGCATCCTAGCTACAAAGACTAGCTTCTCGATTATTTTTTTTAAATGGAAGTGTAGAGATTTGAAAATGTCACAAAAAAAGACTTGAACACGTAAAGCGTCTTGATGCCCATCTTTCTGGGGTCATGTGATCCCAGCAGTCTTTCCTGCCCAGCACAGGGGAGCTAGACCTGATGATCTGTAAGGTCCCTTCCTGCTCTTAACAACCATGAAACTAGGAAATGAGCCTACTGAGTTTATCCATTTATGAAATTTTCTTCACCTGCTCATAAGCAGGGGAAAAATCTCATGGAATCAGAAACATGAATTGCTTAATCTTGGTGGAGATGCATCTATCAGCTGTCAGGCATATAGTAGCTGGAAGACTTGCAATAATCCTTCTCATTACTCTCTCTTTCCTTGATAAGTGAAACTCAGTCTGCAAGTTCTGCTGATAACCAACTTTGTTTATATTTAGCTGTTCTGATGAGGTATGAAGAAGGGTTTCAAACAATGGACTTGTTCACACAACGTGTTTCCTTCCATGTGCTGTAGTCATAAGGAAGAACTTGTAATGTAAAATTTAAGTCTGCCACAATGTCTCGTTCTGATGCTGAAATGAACTTCCCTTTCTATTCAGTAACCAAAAGCAATCGGGGTGTCCTTTACCACATTTTTAACTTGTGAATAGAATATTGCATTTTGTAGTGTACTGAAGTGCTCTTTTTCACATTAAAAGTAAATAAATAAAGGAACAACCTGAGAGTTAAGCTGGATTCTTAAATAGCCACGTAAGGTATATACTGGGGGGAAAATTGGTGGATTTTATTTGCTTGGTTAAAAACCACGACCAGTTTGCACTTTTGAAGAGGTAATAATGTCTAGAGTGACTGCCCTGACAAATCTGCTGTTGTCTGAGAGAGGCTGTTAAGGGATTCACATGTAACATTATGAAGGAAGTGCTACAGTTTAAAGTTTATCTCTGAACATATAATCTCTTTGGTTGTGACAAAATATCCCACCGCAGTTGCAACTAATTGTAATGACTTTGCCCTTTTACAAAAAGGCAGTAGCTTTTGAACATGGCTGTTCTGTTGAGTTATCCTGAATACTGTCCTTGCATGAAACAGAAGTAGAAGGCTATAAGCGTAGTATATGTGACTTCATTGTAAACTTTAAAACTATTTAAAAAAAATCAATTTTAGGCAGAAAACATTTAATGTTTTAGAAAAAGGGGTTCCGGGAATGTTTTGTGACACAAAACTTCCCACAGAAATAGTCGAGTTTCAGTCTACAAGGAAAAATAATAAAACATTTTTTTGCATTCTGTTTCTTGTATGAAGTAAGGTTTTAACCTTTCAGTATTGCACTCTGGCTAAATGGAGGTTTTCAAGCACTTACTATGAAAGCAGAATTCACAGTACCATTTAAGCTGCTGGAAGTCTTATTGATCTTTCCACTGGCTCTTAAATGCATTTCACTTTTTCTTTCTGTTAAAGGATGACGAGGAAGTCTGATCATACTATCAGGTGACTAGAATTGATTTATGTTGTGCAGATTATATAGATCTGTAGAACTTTCTTCTTGGGTGTAGTTTGTCCTGCTAGAAATTCTATTTGCTTCCTCATGTTTTATAAAGTTAGAAGTTAAGTATCCTACTGGCAAATTTGATACAACTAACTCCATAACTGTCAATGCGTATTTGAATCAATTTGACTGCTGTCTGCATACTGTTTTGAGAACACACTTTGGATAAAGCTGATGAACCTGTAAATCCCTGAGTCTATTCTGCAGTTCATAAATTCCTTTTCAGTGTCCATTTATGAAAATAAATGTAAAGTTGCTTGCTCGGGAAGCTCTTTCCCAAAGGAAAGAGAACTTTCCTTTTTGATAATACAAACATCCCAAAATGCTGCATCAAGTTTGGATTAAAATATCTGTTTTAACAGATTTGTGAGCAGTATTTTGGTGTAGCCAGGAGGGAATAATAAAATAAGACTGAAATTTATCAAATTCTACAGATTCTGACTCCTGATAGAAGTTTTGTTTTTCTCACGTATCGCTCAAAGGGTGAGGATGATCTTTTTTTTTCTGCATACTCACGTAAGCCGTTTTAAGATGTTTTTAAGAAAACCAGCAGGGGTGTGTATACAGCGATAGTTAAATAAAATGTTTTTCCAGATTATCTTCAACAGTTTTGTAACATTGCCTTTGTAGACAAGTTCTTAAAGAAATGGGTGAAGGATTTACTTTGCTGTCTTAACTGTTCTGAGATGCTGGAATGGGTATGGCCATTTTCGCAAACATGTCTGAAACCATCGCCTGTTGTAACATCTTAGGAATATTAATTCTGCTGGTTTTGCAAGCTTATGATTGAGCATTCAGAGCAGACTCGGAGTTTCAAGACAATGATGTTAGCCTCAGAAAAACTTGCAGAAAAAAACATGGAGTCATGTTTAGTGAAAGAGAGGTTTCTAACAAAATTCTTTTGACACTTGCCCAGCAGGTGCTACACATGTTTTTGTGTTATATAAACTCCTTTGCGAGTGAATAAATGCCACTTGCACACTATATTTGTACAGCAACTGTGGCAAATGTTGCTGAGTAGAACTAAAACAAAAGCTTTTGAATCAAATGGATGTGTATTGCACCATGATTACATACTGAACAAAACTACTGCTGATTTGTACATGTTATTTGCTGGGCAGTGCCATGTAAATGTGGTAATCAGTGGAAAGATGAGGTGGAAATAATTTAGAAGTTTAATTTCAAGACGCTTGAAATTTTCTCCTAGGTATCCCCAATGCATGAATGCAGTAAGGTAACCCATTTAAAATATTGTTGTGTGCACTGCTTGCCACTCAGTAACTTCAGCTTGGAATGGATAAGAGGGTAGCTCTTGTACTTTAAATAATGTTAAAGCAGACTGCAGGCTTTTGCTCTATTTTCCCTATTATTTCTGCTGAAAACACTAATTGTTTGACCCTTTCTCTGATGTTCTGCATGGGCCTATTCATCTTAGTGTGGTGAGCAAGGGCTGAGATCTTGGAACTACTGAAGCTCTATTCTATTTGTTGCCTTTGCCATTGACTCAGCCCTTGTTCCTAATTTCCATTTCCAAGCTTCCTTATAAATACTGATTCATCCTAGAAAGGTGTAGAAGTACTTTCCTTGATTTTGTTGCCTTTGCCATTGACTTAGTGCTTGGGGCAAAATCAAGGAAAGTACTTCTGTACCTTTCTAGGATGAATTGGTATTTATAAGGAAGCTTTAAAATGGAAATTAGAAACAAGAGCTTGCATCTGAGTGGTACGCAGATCTGGAACGTGTGTTAATTTGGATTGAGTAGCTTTCACTTGTGCAAGAGAATAGCCTTAGCTTCATCTTTTTGCCTAATTTAGTTGTTCTAGTGTATTTCCTGTCATTTTGAAGGATGCACCCATGGAAAAGTTTTCTGTATGCATGATCTGAGACCAAGACATTGTGAACCAACTTCACACTTAATATGCAAGTCGCTAGGTATGTTCTTCAAATAAAAAAGAAAGTCATTGATGTTTTTGCTGGGGGTTTGGTTTTGTTATGCTTCCTACTTTTAGCATTTGCATAGATAAGCTTCCTTTCTGACAGTTGTATATAATGGTTGCCCCCAAACCTTTACATTGCTACTTGGTAGTATTGAAGTACTGCATTCAGTAAGTGCTGACTGAAGTAATAGAAGACCTCTCTCTTTAATTTATTTTCTCATTTTGGTATTGTAATGAGCATTTAAGAGTAAGTAAGATGCTTCTAATGAGAGTTGCAATTAATTCCCCCCACCTCCACAGTTTAAAATTCCTTGTTATGTTGGGAGAATTACCATAGTTTTCAAAGTGATACTGTAGGATAAGGCCATTTGTAGTAAAAGTCTGTTCAAAGTGACTTTTTTCCTTTTGTAGAGGGGATGCCCATAATATTTTGTGTGTGTGTGTGTTTTACATTTGATCTTGATTGCAGCAAACATGCTTGTATTTTAAAGGAAAAAGTTAAATGTTTGTGGTTGGTGAGTATTCTGAACCTAGAGTGTCATTTACCCTTATCTGATGTTCATAATTGTGACTTGAATTTAGGCTTAAGCTAATGCTTGAATTGCTGCTGATGCGGTAATGGAGTGTAACAACCAAGAACCAGGCCACTGCACTCAGAGAACTTTTTTTTTTTTCTTTCTGTTGGCTCAGTGTAAAACTATAGGAAGGTACCCATGGTTATGTCTTAAGTATTCTTAAAGGTATTGCCCAGTATTGTGTCTGGAGTTAACACTTATCAGCTTTTTTGAGTTATCTGATTACTTTTTGCAGCATGGCAGAAGTAAAATCTTCTGACAATTGGAGGAAGTGATATGAGAGTATTGGCATTTTGAAATCATATACTTTTATCTTGTTTAGTGCTGAAATACCTTGGTGGATTTTTTTTAAATCATCATTATGCTTTTCAGCGCGCTCACTGTCCAGAGTGTTAGGTGTTCTGATTCACCCAAGTTTATCAAACGCTGAGAGACAATATTGTTTGGCAGTCTCTGTAGCAAGAAAGGAAGCATCTTTTGTTATTGACATCCTTTCTGTTAGCTCTGCCCTTGCTTTTTGCCAGCTGCTCATTGTCTGTGCTTGCTTGTGTAGTATTCACAAGGGATTTTATGAGTTCTTATCAATTTGTTGCCACAGCACATCACTTCCTCTTGTCATCGTTACTCCCTGTTTTTTTAAACAATTTTACACTGGAATCTGGTGGGTAATAGAAAACAGGGCAGCACATGAAAACCGTTTTTGTAGCAGTCTTGTATTGTGTGATATTGCTCACGCTAGAAGGGAGAGACCCTTTCTCAGACAACAGGTCGTATTTCTGGGGCTGGTTCTGCTCCACCTTTTTGTATCTTTTAAGGGGAGGAACACTATTGCTTAAGACTGAAAAGGCCACTATTTCAAACCCTCAGAAAACTGGCAAGAGGTACAAGGAGGTGCAGCATAAAAATGAAGTGGCCGAGGTGACTGACCATGTCTGAATCCTTTGTTTTTCTTGTTGGTTATCTCCAGCGGTGGTTCGGTTTTCATAATTACTAGCTACAAGAACTGGAGTATCTGAGCAGGGTCCAGAGACAGCCACTTGATAGAAGCTCCAGCATTTTTTTTTCAGGATCTGGAGGGGTGACATGATAGGCTTCTCTCAGGAAACCACCCCAGGAATTTGCTGCTCCTCCTTTATCCTGAATTTGTATCCGCCTGTGCTGAGTAGGTTAGTTACTTAGCTGCTTGGTAAATGTTTTAGCTTCTATGCAAATGTATGCTTTGCCTGGCCTGTATGTGGGAAATGGAGATAAAATGCTTTCTTTACTTTGTGCTAACTGTAATCTCATTTAACCAAATTCTGCCAGAAAAATCCCACGTTGTGAGGGATGAGCACCAGAACCTTGTATCTATTGGAGCCACTACTGTCATTCCCTCCCTGCAACACTTGACAGCTTCTCCAGGAAGCATACACTTTCTTTCAGTTAGAAGTATGAGAGGTGCGGTGTAATACTTTGGCAATCAAAACAAAAAAAGGATGCAGTAGCCATGATTCAAATGAAAGAAATAACTTTTCTTAGTTGCTTTTCATTTCTGCCTCTCTTCCCTTCCTCCTCTTCCCCCCCCCCCGAAAAAAAAATTTAGAAACTAACTACATTTTTGTTTTTAATAGGATTAATTCAGAAGATTCATCCTCTGATAGAAAGACGTTAATTGCCAAGTGACATCTGCTCAATCAGTTGCTGTCTTCCAAGAAACAATACAGCTTATTCATTGCAATAACTGCTTCTTGCAAACACTGAAGTTTATTTGTGTAGAAGTTCCTTGAAGACTTGTGTCAAATGACGTCAATGGCCAGTTTGTTCTCTTTTACTAGCCCAGCTGTAAAGCGTCTGTTGGGCTGGAAACAAGGAGATGAAGAGGAAAAATGGGCTGAAAAAGCTGTTGATGCCTTGGTAAAAAAGTTAAAAAAGAAAAAAGGTGCTATGGAGGAATTGGAGAAAGCCTTGAGCAGTCCTGGACAGCCCAGCAAGTGTGTTACCATTCCCCGTTCTCTAGATGGGCGACTTCAAGTCTCTCACAGGAAAGGCTTACCCCACGTTATTTACTGTCGTGTTTGGCGTTGGCCTGACTTGCAGAGTCACCACGAGCTGAAACCGTTGGATATTTGTGAATTTCCTTTTGGATCGAAGCAAAAGGAAGTTTGTATTAATCCATACCACTACAAGAGGGTGGAAAGCCCAGGTATGTTTCAGGATGGTGGTCTGTGTGGTTCATTTGAAGAAACTGACTCTCAATCCAGGTTTCACAAATAAAATGTTTGGTGTGTCAGTGTAGGGAGAGAAGTGTGTAAAATTCTGGCTAGAATAGATACGGACTTCTTGATAAAATCTTACTAGCATTTTACTGCCTAATGGTCCTGTCTATACAAGGGTATTTTCTGTGTTAAATCTGGATCCTTTTTATTTTTAAAGGTATTGCTTAGTTCTGTTCCCTTAGACTTAGTAGTAAAATTTCCATTGATTTCAGTGATCACAATTTGTCTGAATACAAACCAGTCATCTGAAGTTCTTGCATTATTTGGGAAACTGATCTATAAATCTTTATTCTTATCAGTAAGCCAGTGATGTCTTTTTTTTTTTTTTTTAAGTGATGGGGAATTTTGTAACTCACAGTAGAGATGACATGGGAGGAAGAGAGAAGAATTTCATTGTTGGGAGGGGAGTGGGTAGAACAGGACCAAGAAGATACTTCCTAATACAGCATTCGCAAGGGTGCAGGGGGAATTGTTTGGGAATGTGGCTGTGAGAAAAGCTGGGGGTAATAGAGTTCTTACAGTTGGGAGTGAAAGAGAAAAGGGTCTTCTGTCTTTGTGAAGTAAGTTTTGCAGTAACAGCAGATTTTCACTCTAGTGGATATGAAAGGACTTAGAAAATCTTTCAAATGGGAAACTTATAATTGGTGAGCTCAACAGTTGAGGTTCTTGTAGCCACAGTAACATAGCTGTGGTATGTGTAGGAAGACACATGTTTGACAGCCTGTTACACTCCCAAATATAATACTCGTGTCATAAGAACATTGATTATTGAATTTCCTTCCTTAAGTTTAGAGTCTGTGATGTAATAGTGTAGGTTTTTTGCACTTAATCACATATACTGAGAAAACATAAATCCTTTAAAATTATTATTACTTTAGCACACTTGGTATGTATGCTTTGTACAAAAGACTCCCTGCACTAGTATTAAATGATCATTTTCAGGTGATGTGACGCATAGAAACAGTTCTGTTCTTGCCAAAGTAAAAAGTTCTCTTTCACTGCTGATTGGGCACATTTAAAATGATTGGGAAAAGAACTTTAATTGTTTGATTTCTTTTTTCTTTCTCCTTAACTAGTGGGGAGAGAATCTTCTTGAATAATGTATAGTGCATTATTTTGTTTTTCATTCTAGTTGAGTGTTTCTTTTTGTGTGTGTTTTTCCTTTTTTTTTTTTTTTCCTTTCTTCTTCTTTAGTTCTACCTCCAGTGTTAGTGCCTAGACATAGTGAATTCAACCCACAGCACAGCCTACTAGTTCAGTTCAGGAACCTAAGCCACAATGAACCGCATATGCCACACAACGCTACGTTTCCAGATTCTTTCCAGCAGCCCAACAGCACTCCATTTTCCATTTCACCGAACAGCCCCTATCCACCTTCTCCAGCCAGCAGCACTTACCCAAGTTCCCCGGCCAGTTCTGGACCTTCAAGTCCATTTCAGCTACCAGGTGAGAACAGTCTGTGTGTGAACTTCACTCAGAAATAAAAAGCTTGCTTTGATATCATTGTGCTAAAAGCTCTTGCAATTTCTTTTTTTTGTTTTTGTTTTTGTTTCTGGTATTGTCAGTTCATGTTGGCTGAATATTGGCCGATTCTTGTATTTACTTATCATTCATTCATTATCAATATTTGCATTTAGTTTTATTCCATTTCCTTACTTTTATATTGCTCAGAAAGAGATCATGTAGGTTATATCTAAGTTTTTATTTTCCACATGTTACTTGATACTTACAAACGTCAAGAAATGCGGCTTCTGAATTTATCTCCAGTACTTTTAAATAAGCATTGTAAAGCAAGATGAAAGAAATGTCTTTAATAGTAAACCCTGCTTTCCCCATAAAAAAAAATCCATAGGATAAAGTAAATAGCCTTAAAATAAAGTTGATATTAACAAAATCTGTTACCCTGGAAGATATAGCTTTTGTTACGCTTCATTTGACAGCATGGAGTTGTAGGCTTTTATAATACCACAAATGCCAGAATGCTGGGGTGCACCAAAGGGTATTTAAGTAGATAAATTCTTTAATCTCTCCAAGCTTATGCATATAGTCATCTCTAGTAAATAAGCACTTAGCAAAATTAAGAGTGTGTAGTGCATTTGGCCAAGATGAGGCCTTGTACTTAAACCTGATGATGTCTTTGTCATGCAAAACCTTATTCTACACTGCCTCCAGTCATTTGCAAAATTTCAGGGAATATCCCAGCTACCAGGAAGGATGAACCTTTTTGATTTTTGGTGGATATTGAAAAACACAAAAAGAAGAAAAATCCTGCACGGATCCTTTGACACAGTATCTAGTTAGTAGACACAGTACCTGAATCCACCTATGTAATTGCCTATAGACCTCATTGATGGCAGCCATTAAATTGGTCTGCATTCCATTATGTGCATCTTGGCTCTACCCATCTTCCTGGTGCACTTAAAAATGGCAACACTTTCAGTAGCAGTAGGCTGAATTACAAATAATGTAAGGTTTGGGGTCACACGCGGACCCCATGAGATGAGATGGGGGTTGCAAGGAATTATTGACATTATTGATACACAGCTTTTGAGGAATGAAGGAATGCAAGGAGAGGCTGGTGTATATAGTTCACTTAGCCAAGTCTCTTAGCCAGCAGAGAATCTGATCCTCCAGCGTAATTCTCCATTCTTCCCAGGAAGTGAGAGAGTTTTATATTCATGCTTTCTGCTGTTGTGTGTGCGTTTCCCTGTCTCTCTCTCTCATATACCAAAAGTTTAAAAACTCAAAGTCTTCCCTTCTCTTCTCTACCATTGCTTATTCATTTTTCTTCATTTCTAAGGCTAAGGCTTTGTTTAAATCGGCTTGCTCTAAAAGAGAAAATAAATGTAATCATATTGATCTCCTATAGAAGTGAGTTCTGTAACTATGAAACAGCCAATAAAAACAGCCTTCCATTTTTTCGTAAGTCCTGTCCTTGTATCCCAGTCACATAATCAAGAATAAGCCTATCAATGGAGATAATTGCAAAGACATGGGGTGCCTCTAGTAGCCTTGGCCGGTTTCAGGTTGCTTTGCAGATAAGGGTGAAAACTTAGCATCATCCCTTGCTTAGAAATGCTTCTTGCCTCTCTTTGAATGATAAGTGAGCTAGATAAGATTCTTTGGGTTAATGTGATATCTTTTATTAGACCAACTAAATAGTTGGAAAAATTGTTCTTTGCAAGCTTTCAGGCACAAACGCCCTTCATCAGGCATTCGAGAGTCTGCTGTTGGTTTGGGTGCTCTCCTGGGTAGATTAGAAGTCAATATGCAAAAATGCAGGTTGTGAAAATGCAAATGCATGGCATACAATAGGTGGGGCAGGGAAAGGGGGGATGTTCACCTGTTGAAAGAATGCAGCTAGTAAACTATAGAGATGTTACCTGGGGTTCTCGGACAGCAGGCAGGTTTTAATATGCCATAAATCCAATGTCTATATTTAATCCATGTATATATATTTAATCTATCTAGTAGATCTATGAAGTGAAGTTCATAGGCTCACTTACAAAAGGTATTTTGTAAATTCCCTTTGAGGATTCCCCCCCCCCCCCCCCCCCTCTCACTCCTTCGTTTCCCCCCCGATTGTCCACTATGCATTTGCATTTTCACAGACCTGCACTTTTGCATATTGGCTTCTGATCTACCCAGGAGAGCATCCAGACCAACAGCAGACTCTCCAATGCCTGACAACGGGTGTTTTGTGCCTGCAAACTTGCAAAGAACAATTTTTCCAACTATTTAACTAGTCTAATAAAAGATATTGGATTTACCCAAAGAACCTTGTCTGCTTACGACCTTAGACCAACACGGCTACAACCAACAACACTGAGCTAGATAAAGCATTTGGTTTCACTTTTTGGTTCCTCTTTGCAGCTGATACTCCTCCTCCTGCGTATATGCCCCCTGACGATCAGATGGGGCAGGATAGTTCGCAATCTATGGACACAAGCAACACTATGATTCCTCAAATTATGCCAAATATATCCAGCAGAGGTAAGGTCACATGGTAGATAATGGATGAGTTTTGATTGGTGGCTTAACACTAAGGGCCAAACTGAGGGGTAACTTAAATGATTGAATAAGTTATGTATTAGTTGATGTAATTTCCAAATCAAACTGGAGACAGTCCAGGCTTACCCAAGGAAGTGGATACAAGATAAACGCACCTTATCTAGTTCACTTCATACTCTTGTGTCGTTTGGCTTTGCTTTTTAAACCAGCTAAGTAGTAAAGAACCACAAGACCCATTTTATTTAAAATGCATATAATGTAACACCTTAGAGGACTGACTTTTTTTTTTTTCCCCCTCCTCCCCACATGAAGTGTTGAGAATTCGCCTGCTTACTCTGTCATTGGGAGTTGTGAATGCTCAGCACCCAAGATATTGGACCCCAAATGCTGCTTGTAAATAAAATTCTATAGAAAGTCTCCCTTTTGTATCTGACAATACTTTTTCGAATATCTGTTTCCTTTTTTTGCTTTTTGTGGGTCTTTCACATACCCTGGAGTGGGGAGAACAATTTAAATACTAAAATTACTATAAAACAAAATTGGCAGAGTAAACTGAAGTAGTTGTACATGAGAACACTGTAACTTTTTTAAATTGACTGGCTTTCAACACTGGATAGCGTGCTTCTTAATCCTTTCATGCTGCCCTTTAAGTACAAGAAGCAGAGGTTAAATTGCTGAAGCATTTTTATGGTAAGAGGTTCAAGGGTTATTTGACCCTGTTAAATTTCTATATTGAAATAAGTTTATGTAAGTTGATTGAATTTTGATTTTTTTTTTTGTTTTGTAGATGTTCAACCTGTTGCCTATGAAGAGCCTAGGCACTGGTGTTCAATTGTGTACTATGAATTAAATAATCGTGTTGGAGAGGCTTTTCATGCATCTTCTACCAGTATCTTAGTAGATGGATTTACAGATCCTTCTAATAATAGAAACAGATTCTGCTTAGGTTTGCTGTCCAACGTTAATCGGAATTCAACAATTGAGAACACTAGGCGACACATTGGAAAAGGTAAAACATCAGTATAATTCATGCATCCTTTATGAGTAAGGGACTAATAGCAGTAGGCTAAAAATACGTCCCTGGAACGGTTACTTTACAATATACAGAAATCGAGACTGAGCCTGGTGTCCAAGCAGATCCACAATATGCTTGCAGATGATAGATAGTTAGATAGTTAGTTTGATTGATTTTTTTTTTTAAAGCAGCTTGTGATTTGATTTATATAAATTTGGAAAACTGAATGACTTCTGTATTCGGCTCTAGACAAAAATGATGAAAATATAAAAATTCCCTTTCTCTTGAGTAGGCTGACTCCAGGACTTTGTGCCAGCACATTAACCAAAGGGAAGTCCTGTGGGACATCTTGTTACAGGACCTATCAAGTTGCATGTATACAGCTGCCTTTTTAGAGCAAGTTCTTGCTGCCACTTTCAGTATATCAAAGCATTGTTCTCAGTTTGCATATGGCATTTGAGCACTGTCTACAGTATGTTAAGTGTCCTTTAGGAGATGAAAGGAAAACTCTGAAGTACTAAAATAAGGCTGTAAGGACTTGTTTTCTCTCAGTGACTCTAATGGGTGTAGGATGTGTGGGCACTCATGCATGCACTTGCATGTTGGGGAAGAGGGTCTTGGTTTTGGCAGGTTTTGCAGGAGAACACAAGTTGTTTTTAAACCCCTTTTCATATTCCTTCCCTGTCCTCATGCAATTAGCTAGCTAAGCCTTGACAAGAGAACGCTCCTTCCTCCTGCCTTATTCTTTATAAAGGTTTCTTGGCACTTGAGGATCAGCTAAAGAGTTTTCAGATTTTCTTGGCATCAGGCAAATTGAAAGAGTTGCAGAGTGCCTTAGAAAACCAAAGTACTGTAACAAAAAGACTATAACCCTTATGGTTTGGTCTACTTCAGGCTTGGATGTATAGTTTTAGTGATTGGAATCCTCAAATTTGCTGAGTTTATCATTTTTTCCAGGTGTACAATACAATATAAATAAATTTGCATTCAAGTTTTAACCTAAAGTAGGGCTGAAATCTCTAATTCTTGATCATTGGTAGAATAAAATGTAATTTATTCCTTCAGTTGGGAACAATCAAAGGACAATTTCTGGATAAAATGCTTAGTTTTTCTAGGAAAAAAAAATTCTATTATACCCTTATGAAACTTGCCAGACATGTTTCACTTCTTTTTGGCTCACTACAGATCAATCTCTCCAAAAATGCCAGACTTGTCACATGTCCTTATAAGTATTTCAAATGGAGGTCACTTTTGGAATTTCAGGAGTAAATAATTTTAAAATATTCTTTGTAATTTGTTGCAGGTTTTATTTCCAGCCTCCTATCTATCTTTGTTTTTCCACTTCCCAAAAATCCTGAACTAGCTCATTGGCTTGAAGAGGCCAGCAGGGGTAAAATAGAAGAATGGAATTAATTGGCAGAAATCTGTTTCCAAACTAGTCCCAAATCTAATGGTTTAGTCCCTTGGAGTTGATCAGATGGCAAGGCAGTCTGCCTCCAGATTCCTTTTCCTAAATGACATCCCACTGCTGGCTACCATTAAACTTGATGAGGTTCACTAACACAGGGGTTCCCAACCTTTTTATGCTGAGGACCAGCATGCTGCGGACCAGCAGCCAACCCTTTTTTTTATGGGGTTGGGCACCGATCCACAGCATGCCGGTCGCTTCCGGTCTGCGGTCTGCTGGTCCGCAGTCGCTTCCAGTCAGGCAGCCAACACTTTGCAGCCTGGTACTGGGCCGTGGCCTGGGGGTTAAGAACCCCTGCACTAACGTTTCTTACGTTCTGAAAGATCCCTCAGTTTTGTCAAATGGTTAAATCCCCTCCGGCAGAAACCATGTTTCTTAGTGGATTCTCTACCTTAAATGAAACTCGGACATATCAGCCCTGTCAGTGTTATTGGGAGGAATAGTTGGGAGAATCTTTGCTGAAGTAGGAACAAAGACCCACGTTTGGACAATGAGCATTTTAAATAGCTTTGCCTTTGTTGGATGAGTTTTTAATTCTTGTCTTTCAAGTAGTGACACATTAGCATAACATTACAGTATTTGAGTTTCAAGTCAAGGAGTAAATTTGCATGAGAATTTTACAGCTGAATTAAAGAAAAAGAAAAATTAGATGTATTTTTCCCATTGATCTTAAATTTGAGTATATTTAAATGTTAGGCCCAGTCTGATGTGGGTTGCATCTTTTGTGCCGATTGGTAAAATAAGATGAAAGGCTGAGCAGACTGTGAATATACTTTCTCATGCAGCTCTCAGTATTCCTCCATTCTGACCAGAAACATTATTATTCTAGCCCTGGCTTCTCATGAGCAGAAGTTACCAATTTTACAAAACTGCAGGCTTTTATAAGCCACAAAATGTTCTCAGTGGAACTGGCTGAGGAGGACTGCTCACTTTCCCCTGTGAAGTTAAGCTATTCAGTCTGTTCTATAATTGATGAAAGAAGGACATCTAGTGGCTGATATAAAATGAGTGTTTGTTAAACAGCGTGTGCTTCAGAGTCTCTGAAAAATATATCCTTTCTAGAAAGCTCTTCAAATGGAAGTCTGACTAAATTGAACTCAAAGCTCAAGGGACCCATAATAACAACTGCACTTCTGCAATTAGCTTGAACCATTTTTTTCTAACTTTATTTTTAAGGCGTTCATCTTTACTATGTTGGTGGGGAAGTCTATGCCGAGTGCTTAAGTGACAGCAGCATATTTGTACAGAGCAGGAACTGCAATTATCATCATGGCTTTCATCCTACCACTGTGTGCAAGATTCCCAGTGGCTGCAGCCTAAAAATTTTTAACAATCAGGAGTTTGCTCAGCTTTTAGCTCAGTCTGTCAATCATGGATTCGAAGCAGTTTATGAGCTCACCAAAATGTGCACCATTCGAATGAGTTTTGTAAAGGTAAACACATTGTCTTTTTATCTTGGGCATTTAAAATTTTCCTGAGTACTCATTAGTACTTGGGGTTTTATTGCTTGTTGAGATGACTCCTCTTTCAGCTAGTTTGTGTACAGTCTTTCCCATTGTACTGTGGAGCATGAGGGGTGTTCTTGTACCACCAAGGATTTATTTTAAAACCTTAATAAGTGTTAGATATAGTAAGAAAGAATTTATCATTCTGGTACCTGAAATGAATGCATTACTTTAATTTCCCCACTCTAATTTACTGCTGGGCCTCTGCAGTGAATTTCTAGGTTTCTAAGGTAAGAAGGGACACTACACCAAACACAGATGATAAGACTTCCCTGGATTAATTCCTGGATCAAATCCCGTACATATGGAATTGTAGGATCTGTCATCTTGCAGTTTGTCCATAGTATACAAATTGGTGTTAACCCTTATTGGCATAGTAAGGGTTAAGACTGAGACTGGACCTCGCTGTGTTGGATTTTCTGCACGGTATGAAGCATTCGGTGTCCCAAAGAGTTTAAAATCTAATTTTACTAGACAAACAAGATGAGAGGAGATATGCATGCAAAACAAACAAAAAAATTATCTTTGGCTAAGGAGCCTGTGGTAGAGTGAAGACCAGAAGCCAGAAGTCTTATATCTAGTGCCCAAAGCTCAAATTTATCCTTCTCATCTTCCCACTCTCTTTGTCCCCCCACCTTATTTGTAATCTAATAATCAGATGCCTCGCAGCATTTCTTTGTACAGATTACTGGTATATTTTCATAATTACAAATGTTTTAAATTTTTTTTTTATAGGGTTGGGGAGCAGAATATCACCGGCAAGATGTCACAAGCACCCCATGTTGGATAGAAATTCATCTTCATGGGCCCCTGCAGTGGCTGGATAAAGTACTGACACAAATGGGCTCGCCTCTTAATCCCATCTCCTCTGTTTCATAGTGCCGAAGTATTCTCTTCAAGTTAAATCTTTTTAGCGAACTTATTCTAATTCTAGAGAAACTTCCAATGTGGATACTGTGAGCTACATGGAGAACAGATATTATGGTTAAACTTCTTACCCTGGTGTGACCAATTCCATTGTGTATCGATGATCAGTTTTACATTTCAATTTGTTCTTGTGATACTCAAGTGACAATTGAGACCTAAGAAAAAAAAGTCTATTGAAAATTTTAGAACGTTTTTTCCTTTCTTTCATATAAGACTTAAACAGGTATTTGTCTTAACTGGAACTTTTTCTTTGTCAAGTAGGGACAAGAATTTTGAAGACTGACTATAGGGAGTAAATACATATCATAGATTTTAAAAAATATATATATTAATAAACTGCTGAACTTGTGCAGCTCCAGCTTGCAAGCAGTATTTTTAGTAAAGCTGCATAACAGTTTTCGATGACAATTCATAAACAAAATTAGCCTTTATTATAGCTAATTTTGCTTCAGTTTGAACAATGTGATTTAAGTGTACACATGTTGAAATTATACTTTTTTTACAGATACAGAATGATGTAAAACACTTGCATAATCTATTGAAAAAGTGCCGTCATAAACACACTGTATATTAATTGCAAAGGAGCAAGCATTAGCTTCATTCCTCATCACTTTTTTAATATTGCTTTTAACCACCGTTTAAATAGTAATTGATGAAAGGTAAACTTCCTACACTTCTCTGGACTTACTAATTCTTTTTTTCTTTCCTTTGATTTATGCCCGTACCATTTGGATGTTGTTGCCAAGGTCTAGCTTTTTTGTAGATACCCCTGTGTATTTTAGCATAAACACTACTTTTTGTAAAGGCAGTACTTTTCTTGGAAAGATTTAAGTGTTTTTTGGGTTTTTATTCTTCCTAGTTGCTTTTGACCTGTGTAGAACTGGTGTGTGTTAAAGTCCTAGTCTCTCAACACTTATTACAGTATTAATGATTAAGCTGTATTTAATTCACTTTGCACAAATTTGGTCTCTTCTGCTCATGCTAGTCAAAGACTGAATGGCTTAAAACTAAGTAATTGAATTTAAGCCCTTTCATTTGTAAGTCACCCACACAAATACAAACCTGTTTGTTAATGAGCAAAAATCATTGCTACTAGTGGCCTTTATGATAAGTGGTCTTAGTCCAATTTTTTATGAGCATCTGTCCCCTGGCATATATAGTTTACCACTGTATTTGCAGTCTTAGCAGAGAAACAAAGGATTGAATGGACATAGAGGCTATATTGTTCCTTCCTCCACATAGGAAACCCCTCAGAGGGACGGTGGAGGCGCACTGGCAGGGTGCTGTGAGAAGGGTTGGACAGCTGCTGCCTGTGCTGAATCTGTCTTGTAGGGAGAGGGCAACACCCAGACTATGAATGCAAACACTGAATACAATCATTTAAAGGGCAAGACTATCTGGAAGAACCATTTCAGTGAGGAACTGAGCTAAAAGAAATGTAGAGCGGAGCCTTTTGACTGAACTCAGTTATAGCCTGATTCTAATTCCCAAGGTTTGGTTTTTTTTCCCCCTTAATATGCAATCAGGGCCTGTTAATGCATATAATAACTCTGACTTATGCAAGCAAAGGTAAAGCGTTTGGGAATTGGTAAAAAACTCTAAAGCTCAAGTACTTAAAAGATGCCTTGTAGCTAGTTGCTGCAGTCCTTGGGTGTGTTGTGTGCTTACCTGAGTTATTCTTGTATTCTTTATTGGTGATAGAGCTTTTGCTGAAATGTGGTGATCCCTTCACCACATGGTACATTGGTAAAGAATCACCTTAAAGGAACAAAGCTGTTTACATATCAAGAAAACATGTTTCTTTTGAAATGCCTTAAAGGAATAAAGACAGATTGATACTTTCATAGAGCTTTAATGCTATCTTGTACAGACATTTACTGTTTTTTGCTTGATTTTATTTTAAAATAATTTTTCCTCCACCATTTTAAACAACACCCCCGGCTCCCCCCTGAAAAAACACCAACCCTTCAGGACAAGAAGTAACAATGCTTTGCCATTTACCAGTCAGTCTGTTGCTTATTTCTTTGAATGATAGCCCGTTGATGGTTGTATCGAATGAGCTACAGACTCAGCTATGCCCATTCTTTGTCACTTTGTCAATATCAGCACTACAGCATCTTGATGAACTCATGCTTTTATTAATGCCATGAAATGTGGCATTAAAAAAGTAAAATATCGGTTGCAGGTATAAAATTTTTCTCCATCCAAGGCTGAATACTAGCTGGGAATGGGGGTTTACTTGGGCAGGCATGTTGGAGTTAATTCCTAGTGCTAATTTTGAGGTTAAGTTGGCTGCACATGGTACTGTAATTACAGCAGTGCTGCCATGTGTATCTAGTCAACTCTGGATGCTGTTTAGCACTAAAATAGCTTGGCTAGTGGTTGCCTACCTGCATTTATTTACTTGACCTGTAATGCCAACAGCAGCCTGGGTTTCCTGGTAACTGCTTCTTCAGGACAAACATGGAGGGGCAGGCTCACTAAATATTGCTCTGGTGCGCTTTTTTCTTTCTTTTTATTTTTTTTAAGTGTTTATTAACAGAAAGACTAGGACTCTGAGGCCTTTTAAATGCATAGTTTTGTAACTTATGTTCTGCTTATCATAGCTTTTCCTAAATCCTATATGGCCTGAGCTGTGCCGTTGGTGTAGCAGTTCAGGACTCTGTGCACAGAGGGGCAGATGGAGAACTGCTTTGACACTAAAGATGTTTAAATTCCACGATAGGAGCAGCAACCTCAGTTTTTACAGTGTATTTGTGAATGTAATTGCTTCTTAATTAAGATTTGCTTCTAATGATGGATGGAGTTATTGGCCTGACCAGTTTGTCTACAATGGATGATGATGCCTCATTAAGTATAGCCCAGGTCACACTGAATGAAAACATTTTGGAAGCAGAGGCCATGTGTAGATGAAATGAGAGGCATGTGTGCACGACACTTCAAAGTGTGCTAAACGCTTTTGCACCACTTCAATGGTGTCGGTGTTTGCATGTCTTGGCGGCGCATTGCACGTTTAATTCCAGCCACTGTAGCAAATTCAGTGGTGTAATGTGCCTTAAATGACTTGGGGCGCAGCAAACTATAACTCCTCTGAGGAGGTTTTGGTTTGCTACCCCTACAGCCATGGAGCGAAGCACTGGGCTCCATGCAGCTCAGGGGCTCTGCAGGAAGCCCTGCAAGCAGCCTAGCAGCGGCCTGGGAACACAGTCTCCACACAAGAAAAGCAGCAAGCCTGATCTCTCCCCCCCCGCGCGGAGCCTGCCTACCTGAGGTGTCCGGGGGCCCGGTGCTTCCCTCCATGGCCACAGTGCCCTCCGGGACTGCCTGAGCCAGGTGCCTGCAGACAGGTACCCCCTGGGGTGGGGGCCACCACTGCTGTAGAGGGAACAACCAGCCCCCCTCAGCAGCCCAGGGACCACTGCCCACCAGCAGCTCGCCCTCCCCTCCCTGCTGCCGGAGAGGCGGGTAAGCGTGTGCAGGTGTGTGCAAGACACAAAGGTTTAAAGGGCCCTAAATTGAAGTGGTGTTTTTAAAAACCCACCTCTTCAATTTAGGGCCCCCGTTTTGTCTACACATGCCCAAAGTAACCTTATTCTCTGGGCACATTACTAGATCATAGCAACCACTAGCATTAATTGATAGCAAAGAGCCAAGAACAGGTGTATACTGACCTTCCTTTTTGGATAGTTTAAGGAGCTGTTAGGCATGACCATAGCATGAAAGCTTGCACTTCACTCTGGTTAGAGGACTCAAGGCTTGCAGGCTGTCAATTTGCATTCTTCATGAGCACTAAATAAACTTAACTGTATTGTGGAAGTAGTTGTACATGAAGGGATGACATTGGGTTATGGTATCTCTAGGACCAAACGGTAACTTTTCAGTATGACTTATTAGTCTTGCAAAATGCCCGGTTAGTCAAAATAACCATGAAGCAGCCTGCATGATGTGATTGGTATGGGCCTCTCCTCTTTTAATAATGATGAATTCTTAAGATTTTTTTTATTTTTTTTGCTGGAAGCTATGGAATTTTTTCAGTGTTATCATATAAAATTCTTTACTTGTCAAGCAGATATTCTTATACTCTTAAGACAGAGGAAGAAGAGCTTTTATAATGTATCAAGATTTTTTCCCCCTCTCTTGACATATCTTGAAAAATAAAAGCTAATGTTTTAGTTCCCCAAACTGTTGGTAGTAGCAGTCCTTAATAAATAAAACATTAAGAACATTTTGCCTCGCAGGAAGGGTCAACCTAACTTTTCTTATAGTCTTGAAGTCTCTTTTTAGGAAGGAAACCTATTCTGAAGTCAAATGGATAAACCAAGCCATCAGATGACGTAATTGTACTTTATTGTGCTGCTCCATAAACCTGCTTCTGCGTGCATTGCAAGCCTAACCTTGTTGCTTCTGTTTACATTGTAGAAAACGGTTCTAGCAATGAGTTGTTTTCTTTTCATTTAACTCTAAGCATCTTTTTATTTTGTTTAACTCTAAAATGATTAGGTTTTGCTAGGTTATGTTTTTTAAGGATATTTTGCATACTGCTGCTCATATTTCAATAAACGTGAAAAATCTCCTTTCGGTATGATTTTTTTCCCCCCCCTAGTTTGCTGCATCTCTAATTCAGTATGTGCCTCAATTTAAATGCATTTAAATGTCTGTACAGGCCTTTTCCAAAGTGTAGTTTTGTGTTCTACAAAAGTACAATGACTTGAACTCTATGCTTGTAACTGTCGCTACTGATGCCTTATGCTATCATTCTTTACGGATGTGTGAAATAGAAATTTTATTTCTTGCATAATTTGCCTGGAAACATTGTGGTGGTCATTGGGGCTTTTAAAAAGAGAGATTTTATTTTATTTTGGTAACCTAATGTATTACATACTTTTGTCAGCTGGGTTCTGAGACGAGTTGAAACGGATATTAAGATAAATTACAATAACATTATGTACATGTATCTTTTTTGTAAGTCGCCCAGTATTAATCTGAAAAATAGATACCCTCAAACTGACAGCAGTTGTTTGCAATGCATAAAATCTCATAACGTATCTGTACACTTATTGCTATCTAGAGTTTAATTTCTTTTTTACATTTGTGGCTAGCATACCGCTTTTTAAACAAGTAAGCATCTTGTCTAAACATGTAGAACTTGAAACTAGTGACTGACCGCTTCTTCAGGCAAAGAAAGGCTGTTAGAATATTCCTTTTGAAACTCGCTTTAAATATTTCAATAAAATGTAAATTCAGTTTGTTCTTTTTATGATCAGAGTAGCTGCCTTTGTATTGTGGTTTAACCTGGTCTGACCAAATGTTGCATGGGGGGGGAAAAAACTCCTATTTTTCCTGCTTGACTTTGACACTTCTTGGCAACTAGAACAAGTATTAATACGAGTTAATGATTTATGGTAAAATAAGGAAGAGTCAAATTAAGGGAAAACTTGAAGCTTTTCTTAGAATGTACCCTCCCAAGGGGTGCCCTCCTCCCTCCCGCCCCTGGTGACTTAAGATATTTCAGGGTTTAATTTATTGGTGATGGAGCTGGTTTGACTGAAAAGATCTTGTATGGTCACTGGGAGCTCTTTTTTGTTAATACTATGAGGGAAGGGACTAGCATCCTTATTGAACAAAGGAAACCAGCTTTCAGAATACTTATTCTTTTTTTCTTGTAATAGTGATTTTTTTTTTTTTCATCCCAACCATGACTCAGTTTACCTAGAAATGAATGATGGTACCTGGAAATCAGAATTTGAATACATCTGAAACATGCTTCTTTTAAAGTTACACTTGAATCTACATGTTGCAATGTAAACAGTTGCAGTGTAGATGATTACACAGTCCGGTGGGTAGAAAATTAGCTTATGGGACGCACCCAGAGAGTGGTGGTGGATGGGTTGGTTTCCGCGGGGGGGAATGCAGGCAACGGAGTCCCCCAAGGCTCTGTCCTGGGACTGGTACCATTCAATATCTTCATGAGTGAGTTGGATGAAGGAGTAGGAAGCACCCGGTCCAAGTTTGCAGATAACACCAAACTATGGGGAGAGGTACACAAACTAGAGGGCAGGGAGCAAATTCAGACACATTTGGACCAGCTGGGGAAGTGGGTGGAACAGAATAGGATGCAGTTCAACAAGGATGAGTGTCGTGTTGGACCTGGGGAGGAAGAATCATCAACACTCCTACAGCCTGGGAGGTACCACTCTAAGTAGCACAACTGCGGAAAGGGATCTCGGAGTCGTAGTCGACTCCAAAATGAACATGAGTCACCAATGTGATGAGGTAATAAGTAAAGCTAACCGCACCCTTTCTTGCATAAGTAGGTGCATCACGAACAGGTCCAGGGAGGTGATGCTCCCCCTCTATGCGGCACTGGTCAGGCTGCAGCTGGAGTACTGCATCCAGTTTTGGGCACTGCACTTCGGGAGGGATGTAGATAACCTGGAAAGGCTTCAGAGGAGGGCCACCTGTCTGGTTAAAGGCCTACAGGAAAAACCCTACGAGGACCAATTGAGGGACCTGAATCTCGTCAGCCTCTGCAAGAGAAGGCTGAGAGGTGATCTTGTGGCTGTCTCCAAACTCATTGGGGGTGGGGGGGGGACAGCAGGAAACGGGGGATACGATCTTTACCAGGGCGCCCATTGGGGTAACTAGGAACAATGGCCACAAACTGAAGGAGAGCAAATTCAGATTGGACATCAGGAAAAAATCTTTACAGTGAGGGTTGCCAAAACATGGAATACGCTTCCAAGGGAGGTGTGCTGTCCCGTTCCTTGGAGGTGTTTAAAAGGAGATTGAACCGACATCTGGCTGGGGTCATCTGACCCC